CATGTGGCTTAAACAGCCGACATTTATTCTCAGAATTCTGGAGGACACAATTCCAAAGTCAAGTGTCAGCAGGACCCCGCTGCCTCAGAAGGATCTGGGCGAGTCTGTCTCGGCCTCTGCCAGCTTCTGCAGCTCCTAACGTCTGAGTCTGACTTCACGTGGCCTCCTCCCCTCCTGCGTCTCCGTTTTCAAATCTCCCTCTCCTTTCTCTTATAAGGACACGCTCCCTGGATTTAGGATCCACCCCAAACCAGTATGACTTCATTTTGAGATCATTACTCTAATTACATCTGCAAAAACCCTTATTCCACATAAGGTCACGCTCAGAGGTGCTGGGCAGACATAAATGTTGGGGGGCCCTATGCCACCCACATGGGGTGGGAAGGCACCTGCTCCGTCACTGGGCCTTGCTATAGGGAAGTGTGTCTGTGGATTTACGCATCACTTGTGTCATCAAATCATTTTAACTTTAAAAAAAATTCTACAATCTCGGAAGACAAGATGGCTTCAAAGCTCCTTTGCCTGTCAGGGTCAATGTCCCGGTTCTCTGGGAGGCCCAGGGTCCCCTCAGCGGGAGGTGGGAACAGTCGGCTCAGCAGCATGGATGCCTCCCCGGCCCTGCCCGGCTGCCCAGGTGGAGTCCTCGTAGGGTCCTGGGACCTCCAGGTGATGCTCTCCCACCTGCTCTGGGGTAAGAGCTGGGTGCCTGGGGTGTGGCAGGGACAGGGAGGGGAGGGGACTCTACCTGGCACCAATGACCCACTTGCCCATTACAGGGTCCTCAAGAGTCCTGGGCATTCACAGAGCCCAAGCCCTTGCTTCATAGTTGAGGAAACTGAGGCCGAGAGGAGAAACAGTTTGGTCCAGGTCACCTCCTGAATCAGGAGACACGTGGCTTGTCCCACTGCTTCTCAACAAGACCCTCCCCACCCCCACCAGCCCCCACAGTCACCCTCTGAGGAAAGCAGACAGGAATGATTGTTCCTGTTTACAGATGAGGGAAACTGAGGCTCAGACAGGTGGGACAGAGAAGGCCAGAACCCAGGCTGGGTCCATCCTCCATCCAGCAGCAGACCCTTGCGGGACTCGGGCTGCCCTGCAGAGCTGCCGGGTGCTGGGACAGACACTCGTGGCACTCCTGGTGTGTCCCCAGAGTCTGCACGGGCCAGTCCAGCTGGGGCCAGGAGGAGCCCTGCCTGGTCCTGGGGCTCTTCCTTCCTGATGGCCCTGTGCTCTGCCCCTTGCCCTGTCCCCTGCAGGCCATGCTGGAGCCCAGGGCCCAGGACAGAGCAGGGTTTGCCAGTAACGATGACAGTGACATCCCTGCCTGTGTCTTTGAGTCTGGTGGACCTCATCCGTGTGCCTCCCTGCTCACACTGGGGCTGGGGTGCTGGCGTCCCGGGGAGACAGTGCCCGGTCACAGACACCAGGTGCATCCAACCGAGGCCCGTGGGTCTTGGGTGATTAATTAATCATCAGGCTGTTTGAAGATTAACGAAAGCAGAACAGACGGGGAAGGCTGAATTTATGAGGGGCACAAAGCGGGGGCTTACCCCTTCCCTGGAGGCCCCTGGACTCTGTAGCACAGAGGAGGCGTGGAAAGGAGGCTGGCTCTTCATGCCCCACCCCTCTCCCCCTGCCCCGCCGCCCCTCCTGGTCTCCAAGGAAGGGGGCTGAACTCACAGTGAAGGCTCAGGGGTCCAAGATGGGGCAGAAAGAAAATTCCCCCAAGAAGAACCATCAGACCCCCCTCCACAGGCACCCACTGGGCTGTGTGACCCGAGGTGAGTCACTCCCCACCTCTGAGCCTCAGTCTCCCCCGCCTGCAGGTGCGGGCGCTGACAGTGTGCGGTTGACGGTCCCAGGAGATAATGTCTTCCCCGGAGACCCGACACCTAAGTCCTTGGATTGTGTGCTTCTCCCCACGGCACAGCTGCTCTCTTCTGAGAGCAGCAGTCAAGTTCAAGTTCTATTCCAACCCCCAGGGAAGGGAAAGTGGCCCTTTCTCTGGGCCAGGTGGGGAAGGTGAGTCAGCTTCCTCCCCTGGGCTGATTCACACCTGCGCAGGGTGTGGGCGGGCAGGAGGCAGAGAGACAGGGGCATAGTCACTCTGGAGCAGACACATCTGCGGGCCCATGCTGGCCGGTTCTAGCAGGCCCAAGCTGGAACGGGGGGCTCTGATGGGCCACCCCCAGATGGGTGATGTGGTCCCACGGGCCCAGAGAGGGGCAGGGCCTGACGCCCTCACACAGCACACCCGGGGCAACACCCCAGCTAGGGCCACACCCCACCTCCTGTCCCCGACTCCCCAGCACTGTTAGGTGACAGAGCCCAGCCCTGCATCCCCACCAGCCCACCCAGCCGAGCCGGCCGCCTCCCCTTCCTCCAAGGTTGCCCACGGGGTCAGTGAGTCTCGGGTGACTCAGGAGTGGGAAAGGCCCATGAAGTCATCCAGCTGCCCGGGCCACTCATGAGCAGTCTTGGCCCCTGGCCTCGCCGGCCCGGGGAGTCCCCGGAAGGGGAGCCGTCCATTCCCCTGGCTGCTGGGTGGAGACAGCCCCCTGGAGTGGGCAGAGACCCACCTTAGAGGTGCCCAGACCTTGGTTCACCCTGGCAGCCCTAACTGCAGGCCTTAGGTGAGCAGGCCCCCAGCCCGCCTCCCCCAACGGCCCCCACCACAGAGAGGAACTAGGGAGACGCCTCGAGCCAGGTGCTGGCGCAGGGCCCAGGGCTCGGCTGGACACAGTCAGGGAACACGACTGTGATTATTGTTATTATCTGCCGGGCATTCCACCTGAGCACTCTAAGCTTTTATTACTGTGATCATCAGAAAAGCTACAAATAGGCTGGGCACGGCAGCTCAAGCCTGTAATCCTAGCACCCTGGGAGGCCAAGGTGGGAGGATTGCTTGAGCTTGGGAGTTCAAGACCAGCCTGAGCAAGAGTGAGACCCCATCTCTACTAAAAATAGATAAATTAGCTGGGCATGGTGCTGGTATGCACCTGTAGTCCCAGCTACTCGGGGAGACTGAGTCAGGAGGATCCCTTGAGCTCAGGAGTTGGAAGTCGAAGGTTGGGTTTACAGTGAGCTGTGATGACACCATCACACTCTACCCAGGGCGACAGAGCGAGAATTTGTCTCAAAAAAAGAGGAATGCTACAAATAGTGTTGCCCAGGACCAAAGGTGCCAGACGCTGGAGTAACAGAGACACGGGTTCAAATCCTGCCACTTCCCAGCCACAAGGCTTGGAGCCCACCATGGCACCTCTCCGGGCCTCAGTGTTCTCATCTGTAAAATGGGCATCGTGAAAGCTGCCTAGTCTGGAGATCAGGGGGACGAAGCACATGTCAGCAGCCTGGCAGGAAACAGACATGGGAGGATTCAAAGAAGAAATCTCAGTGAGGGGCTGACGGGGCCACATCCGAGCTGCGGCAATGGCAGGAGCCCCTTCTCGTCCCAAGCTGGGGTCCAGGAGGGGCCGAGGGCTCTGGGAGCCTGTGGGAGCTGGAGCCAGGACCAAGGCCACCGAGCTTGCTGCAGCTGTGGGCAGCTCTGAGGAGGAGGGGGCCGGGAGGAACACCCCACCTCCCCTCCCGCTGCCCAGAGCACCCCCAACAGGTGGGAGGAGGGGGAAGGGACCTGGGGTCAGCCAGCAGAAAATAGTCTGATTCCTGGTGGAAACACCGTCACTCACCCACTTCCTACGCAGCGTGTCCGACAGACGCACGGACAGGGTGGTGGCCAAGACAGCCCAAGACCCCACTCCACAAGGAGAGAAAGGGAGCGTGAAGGCGGCGACTGGGCAGTGAGAGGTGTTTCAACAAATCCAGGCTAGCCCGACAGGTGGGGAAACCGAGGCCCCAGCAAGTCAGTGGCAAAGGGAAGCTCGATGCGCCCCCCCCCATCATTCTTCCAAGGCCCATGGAGGTTGCTCAGGTCACAGGGTGGGGGGCGTGGGGACCCAGGGAAGCCTGGTCGGCCATTCCCTCCCTGGCCCGTGCCAGGCTCTGAGCCGCCCTGGGCGAGGTGGGCGGGCTGCCAGCCCGGAGCCCACCGCAGGGCAGCGTGCGCTCACATTCCCAGACGGCCAGGCGCATTCCTGCCGGGGAGCCACGCTGCTGCCACCCGCACCGCCCCACCCTGCCGCCCCGCACACAGTGCCCATTGTCTGCCCAGACACTTTGAGCCGCCGCCCGCCCGCCCCCGGCCGCCGGCGCTCCCCACACCTCCCGTTCCCAGGTGGGGCCCACCAGCCCAAGCGCCCTTCCCGGTCCCTGGCCCCGAAGGGCAGATGGCATTTTTCTTGGAACCAAGCAAGGATCAGAGGGGGGAAGTGACTTTCCCCAAGTCACACAGGCCATATCCAAATCCCTGGAGCCCCCCAATTAATTATTCATCTCTAAGAATTCTTCCCGTACACAACCCTGCACCCATGGGCACCCGGCACCGCAGTGCGGCCGCTCAGACTTAGCCTCCGAGCACCTGCCGAGGGCCAGGCCCTGTGCCTCACCTGGGGCCCAGCAGCCTTGCCGGGGGTGAGTACCCCAACATCACGTATGGACCAGGAAGCTGACTCAGGGCCGCAAGCAGCGAGCCAAGGCCACCCAGCGCGGAAGCAAGCGAGATGAGATCGCGCCCAGCCCACGCTCTTCCCGCTCCTGCCGGGGAACGGCTCCAGAGAGCATCCAGGGGAGAAAGTGGTGTCCAAACAAAACCTCGTGGCCAGGGCCGCCTGACACACAGGGCGGGCCGGGGTGCCGAGGCCAGCACAGGCTCGGTTTGCTCATTCATCCGGCACGTGGGGGACAGGGTGTAGACGAGACACCGGGCAGGGCACCGGGATGCAGGCTGCTGCACGGGGCAACCCAGGGGACCCCCAGCCTAAAATGTCAAGCCCCCTTCACTTCCAGCACCCCTCCCCTGGGGTTCCGTCCCTCCCTAGCGCTGCCCGCGCCCTGTTCTAGCCCACCACGGCCACCCACCACTGGTGCATACTCACTCCGCTGAACGTCCCTCCTGGGAGCCTGTGCACATGCTGTTCCCTCTCTCGGCCAACACCCTTCCTCCAGAGACCCTCATGGCTCTTCCCTCACTTCCTTCAGGGCCCTGTTCAAACAAGACCACCCTGTAGACACAGCAGCCCACGTCCGCCCCGCAGCCGTGCCCACCTCTCCCTGGCCCTGCGCCCCTGTTCTTCCAGCTCTTCCCACCATCTGATTTGCGACGCATTTACTAGTTTTCCTTGTTTGAGGTCTGCCCCCCACCCGGCACCCCCTAGAATGGAAGGTGTACGAGAGCTGGGACTTTTGTCTGTTTTGCTGTATGCAGTAGAGAGAAGACTCAAGACTGATGATAAGGTTTTTTTGTTTTTTTTAACTCAACATACCAGTAAAACCAGCTCCAAGATCAAGACAGAGAACATTTCTGGCCCCCAGAGCTACCCTAGCTCTCCCTCTGGGCAGGACCCCGCTCCCCGAGGGTCACCACTGCCCTGAGTACCACCAGGGCTTCACCTGTTCTTGACTCCGTGGAACCAGAGCCAGCGTGTGCTCGTCTGTGCTCAGGGGCTCTCTGTACCCGGCGTGAGATTTGCTACACGCCTCACTGCGCGGAGCAAGAGTGACAGTAGGTTGTTAACTTAAGCAACAGGTGGACAGTGGTGCTGGGGACGGCCAGGGGGATCCGGAGCTCTGGGGAGTGTGGCAGAGGCAGCCAGGGACAGGACGGGGTCTGAAAGGGAGGCAACAGCCGCTCACCCCAGTGTTGAAAGCCATGAAAGTAGAGGGAGACTTGAACTATCCACACCCTGATGGAATCGCTTCTTGCAGCCCCAAGACTCAGGGCTGTCTGCTCCGGGTCAGGTCTCCTGCCCCTCTGCACTGTGAGGTGCCTGAAGGACCAGTTTGGGAACAGACCGCTATCCCAGGAGAGAATCTGAGGCCCAGCAAGGGAGAATGGCTCGCCCAAAGTCACGCAGCTGGTTAGGCTTGGGCCGGGACTCCTTGCTCTCCCGGTTGGTGTGGGGAGGCCGGGCTCACACTGAGATCAGAGCACTGCCCGCAGGGAGGGTCTGGGTCAGCTGGGAGGTGTTCAGAGTAGGAAAGTAACCCACGAGGGCTCCCTGTAGGAAGCAGGCCTGGTGCTGAGCCGGAGGCACCTAGGACAGAGGAACCCCCACTTTAGGTCACTGTCTCCCCACCAGTGACACCGTTAGCAAGCCAGACTGCTCCAGGCAGCGCAGCTAGATGACCAGGTAAGCCGAGGCGGGGGCCAAGTGGGCAGCTGGACATACATCCCTAGCCCTGGGGCCAACCCCTGTCAGTGACCAAAGGCCCCGGAAGATGACTGGCACATGCCTTGGAAAGGCCCCACCAGAGGGGGAAGGCGGCCCAGCACCTCTGGACCAAATGCCTCCTTTTACAGACAGGGAAACTGAGGCCCAGAGAGGCCGTGACCATCCCAAGGTTACATGGCAAGTGAGGGCCAGAGGCAGGATGGGACCCAGCCCTCCCGTCTCCAAGTGTGTTCCCCGGGGCATCTTGCCCAGCTGGGGCACCCTGTCGGGTTGGGGTGGTATTCAAGGCAAGAAGGTGGGAGAAAGCAGGTGCTGCCTCAGGTGGGAGACCAGAGGCTACAAGCGTGGTCCATGCCCCTAGGAACTCAATCTGGAGAAGGGGGGTGGGGAGCACGACTCAGAATCCCCCTCCCCTGCGAGTTCCTCCGCAGCTTTATCTCTGCACCGCATGTGCAGGAGCTGGCTGCTTCAGCCGGTGCTCAATTTTCATGATTTTGCAAGCTGGATTTTGTTTATTTGTATTTTTATACAAATAAAAATTATTTGTATTTTCCACGCAGGCTGGAGTGCAGTGGCAGGATCATAGCTCACTGTAGCCTCAAACTCCAGGGCCCAAGCGATCCTCCTGCCTCAGCCTCCTGGGTAGCTAGGACTACAGGCACATGCCACACATGCCACTAAGCCCAAATAATTCTTTTTTTTTTTCTTTTTGCAGAGATAGGGTCTCCCTGTGTTGCCCAGGCTGGTTTCAAACTCCTGGCCTCAAGCAATACTCCTGCTGCCTTGGCCTCCCAAAGTGCTGGGACTACAGGCATGAGCCACTGCACCAAGTTACAAGCCGGCTTTTAAACACAGCCATTGTTTTTTTATTATTATTTGGTTTTTTAAGACAGAATCTCACTCTGCCGCCCTAGCTGGAACGCAGTGGCACCATCTTAGTTCACTGCAGCCTCCAAGCAGTTCAAGCAATCCTCCTGCCTCAGCCTCCCAAGAAGCTGGGACTATAGGAGTGCACGACAGATGCCCGGCTAATTTTCTATTTTTAGTACAGATGGGGTCTCGCTCTTGCTCAGGCCGGTCTCAAACTCCTGAGCTCAAGCTATCCTCCCGCCTCGGCTGCCCAGAGTGGTAGGATTACAGGTGTGAGTCACCGTGCCTGGCCAACACAACCATTATTAAATGTCAAAGTACTTAAACTCACAATTAAATAAATACTCAAAACTCATCACTTCCTCATTATTTTGCCACATTTCACTATTACCTGCCTGGTGAGGCTATTTACACCTGCTGTATCCGCTATCCGTGTAGCGGAAATGCTACAGGGTGATCGCGTCTCTCCCCCTAATCTCCAGGCAGGGACTTCACGCTGGTAGCTTGAAATTGACCATGATAGGTCTATTTACACCACAGAAATGGGCAGATGCAGCAAATAAGGGATCCTGCTCCCACAGAGAGCCAGTTGTGAAACATTAACCAGCACCCCCTGCCTGTGTCCCATCCACCTGCAAACGCCCCTCCAGAACCTGCCCGCTCTAGCCGTCCGGCCCCAGCCCCCACCCTTTCTCACCAGGGCTATGGCAGCTGCTCCTGGCTCACCCCCTGCTCCCCAGGGCCCATTCTCCACCCAGCAGCCAGAAAGGCCTTTCTAGCCCCACAGGGCGAATGGCCCCGAGCAGGAGAGCAAAGACGCCACCCTGGCTTTAAGGCTTCCACATTCGCCACCTCCCACCCCCAGCTGCAGGGGCTCCGGGCCGATTTGTCCTCCAGGCCAGTCCCAGCCTCCCCCCTTCTCCCTGGCCTCTGTTTAATGGCTTCCTCCAAGGCGGCTCCGCCAGGAGACCCTCAGATCTCGCTTCAGAAGCAGGCCCCCGCCCGGCACTCGCTGCCCCGGCACCCACGGGACTTGGGTCTTTGCACACACCTCCCTCTGTGCACGTCTCCCAGATCCCGGCTGTCCTCGCCCCCGGATGTAACCCCCGGTGAGGTGCGGGCAGGGCTTCTCTCTGTCCCACTCATGGCTGTGTCCACAGCACCTCGAGCAGTGCCCAGCACATAGTAGGCGCTCACTAAGTACTTGTTGACCCAGTGAATGAATCCATAGAAGGGCACAGAAGGAATCCAAAACTGTTATCATCCGTGCCCATGTAAGGGCTGAAATGACACCGTTGAAGGGATGGGATGGGGGACACGGCCAGAGCCCACCCCTTTCAGCCCCCCAGCCCACCCCAGCCTCCCTGCCAGGCAACACCCCCGCCACTCAGTCCTGGCTTCCAGAGTGTGCTCTGTCCTTCCCACAGCAGCCCCTTCTCCCGGGGCGTGTGGGGAGCGGGCGGAGGAATTCCTGGCCGCGAGTCAGAGGAGGTGCCCCGGCAGGCGGGAAGCAGCACGCACACGCCAGGGACCGCTCCGAATTCCAGCTCCCACGGCCGCAGGGAGCCCGCCAGCCTGGCCTGGGGAGGCAGGGGCCCTCCCCGCAGGAGCCAGGGCACAGGGCAGTTGGCAGGGCGAAGCCAGCCCCAGGACGGGATAGTCGGGGTGGGAGGGGCTGTGCGTCCACCCCCAGTGCCCAGATGGGAAGGCTGAGGCCTCCCACCGTCAAGCTCTGAGCTCCTGGCAAAGACCTGGGGTGCCAGGGCATTGAGGGGACAATGGTGGGGGGCCAGTCTGTGACCAGAGACCAAATATCCACGGAACAAGAAGGATCTGAGGGGCTGATAGACACAAGAAACAGAGGAAGAGCCCTGGACTGGCCATGGGGAGTCCTGGGCTGTCCCTGCCTCAATGGGACAGGGAACCCCTCACCCCCCAGCTGTCCCTGGACTCCCCACTGTTCCCTGAGGGACGGCCCACGGTGGGCCTGGCATGCTCAGCCTCTGTCAGTTCAGTGGGCAACAGGAGGGTCACAGAGGAGGAAGCAGGTGGCAGAGCTGTGGGAGGCTCTCAACTGGGCCTCTTCTGGGTCCCCCTCCTGTCCCTGTCCCCTCCTCTTCCTGGGTCCAGGCCAGGTGCGATGGGCTCAGGCAGTGGCCCCTGCCCAGCTGTCAGCACCGGAGCTGCTGCCAACGCCCACACCCGTGCACCTGGCCTGCCCTGTGCCACCCGCCACCAGGCCACCCCCCTTCCCCAGCTCTGCTCCCAGGCCACCCCCCAGCACCCCCATTCTGTTCCAGAATGGCAGACAACCAGATCCAGGCTTCCAGAACCACAGTGCCTTTGACCTAGAAAATTCTAGAGCCGTACATTCTTACAACCAGAAAATTCTAGGAACATCAAACATTGGAACATTTTCCATTATAGTCCCAAGAACTCTTAGAACTGATTGATTTCGGGAATGTGGCATCTTGCAAACAGAGATCAGACCATGGAAACTGGGACGCAGGAAATTTTAGGAGCAGGACCTCTTGGAACCAGAAAATTCCCAAAAAAACAATCCCACTGACCCAGAGGACAGGAGCCCCATGTTCTTCCTACCACCCAAGCTGGGGGACATTCACAGGCCCCTGCCTTGGGGGCTAACTCTGAGCCTGCACCTAAAACAGGGCAGGGGGCAAGGGAGAGGGGGAGAGGGGGCCTGGGAGGCTCCTTCCCCTTGGCCCGGAGAGCCCGAGAAGAGCAAGAACCGGTTGATGCCACAGGGTTTGGTGGCGGGTGTGTGGCCACTGGGGGTGGCAGGATCTTTCTCCTTCCTGGCTGGAGCTTGGAATTTTCTCCTGGCAGGAAAGGCCCGCCCTCCCAGCGTGGAAAACAATCCTTGGCATCTGGCCCCTGAGGAGTGCAAAGCCCTTGACAATCAAGCATCATTATCCTCCCTGCCCCACCCCCAGCCCAGTGCAGAAGGGAAACC